AAATTACCAGATGTGGACATAAAAGAAATATCAATTTTAATCGGAAAGAATGTTGATGGGGTACACGACATATATGAATTTCGCAAATCTCCAAATTCCGACAAACCCTTGCATGGGATTCTAGGACCATTAGGCTGGGTCATTACTGGAACGCTCGGTGAACCTGTAATGAACAAAGAAGTTAATGTGAATTATATTGACTACAATCATGACTATGATTTAAATGACATGGTTAAGAAGTTCTGGAAAATTGAAGACTCAGGAATTAATAGATCAAATGTCTCTGATAAATCCCTATCTATAGAAGATAAACGTGCCATAGACATTATGGAAAAAACTACAGTATTGTCTGATGGACACTATGAAACTGGTTTATTGTGGAAAAATGACAATGGAAAACTGCCAAACAATAAACCACAAGCTGAACATAGACTAGCATCTTTAAAACGAAGATTCGAACACGATTCTGATTACAGAAAAACATACTTTGATAATATGAATGATAGTATTTTCGAAGAACATGCAAGAAAATTAAGTGAATCTGAAGTTTTGTCCACGTCAGACAGAACTTGGTATCTACCTCATTTTGGTGTTGTGAATCCTAAGAAACCAGGGAAATTGCGTATTGTGTTCGACGCTGCTGCACAATATCAGGGAACTTCTTTAAACAAGAATTTACTTCCAGGACCAGATAGAACAAATAATCTTGTGGGCGTTATTCTTAGATTTAGGCAAAAAAAAATCGCTCTATCGGCTGATATACAGGGAATGTTTCATCAGATCAAGGTTCGCGAACAAGATCAAGACTCCCTGAGATTCCTTTGGTGGGACTCTGATGACATAAACTTAAAGCCCTCAGAATACGCATTTTGCAGACACATTTTTGGGGCTACTGACTCGCCCTGTATTGCAACGTCAGCACTAAGAAAAACAGCTTCAGACAACAAAAAACTTTATAATGAACTGACTATAAAAACTGTAGGTAAAGATTTTTATGTTGACGACTTGTTGACATCGGTGCCAACTGTAGGCATAGCGATATAATTAGGACACAATTTAAGTGATTTATGTGAAAAGGGTGGTTTTAACCTAATAAAGTTCAACAGTAATAGCAAAGAAGTATTGTCAACATTTCCTGCAGAAAAACTAGCAGAAAAAAACATTGATTTAGACTTTGAGGAATTATCGAAAACAAAAGCTTTGGGAATTCAATGGAATGTAGAAAACGACACTCTGGGGTTCGACGTTGTCGATCTACAAAAACCTAATACGATGCGTGGGGTTCTATCTACGATTTGTAGCGTTTTTGACCCACTGAGTATAATTGCGCCAGTACTGCTACCGGCAAAATTGATAATGCAGGAACTGTGGAGGAAACAGTGGAAGTGGGACAAACCTTTAGAAGGACAATTACTGGACAGATGGTTAAAGTGGAAGAAAAATTTATACAAAATAGAACATGTAAAAATTCAAAGGTGCTATTTTAGTAATATTGAACATTCTAATTGTACTATACAGTTACATCATTTTTCAGATAGTTCAGAATTTGCATATGGATCGGTGTCCTTTTTACGTATCCAATATGACAATGGCGAAATAGAATGTAGATTTATCATTGGAAAATCACGTAATGCACCATTAAAAGTTGTTAGTATACCACGCTTAGAACTACAGGCAGCAGTACTTGCTACCAGAATGAACACATTTATTGTGAATGAACTTGAATTAAAATTTGAATCCATAACATTTTGGACGGAATCTATGATCGTTCTAAATTACATAAATAATACCAACCGAAGATTTAAAACTTTTGTAGCTAACAGAGTAACTGAAATACACGAATCAACTATAACTGATCAATGGAAATATTGTCCGGGTACTGAAAACCCCGCTGATGATGTCAGTAGAGGAATGAATCCAGAACAGTTAAATATTCATAACAGATGGTTATCTGGACCGGAATTCTTACGAAAACCGGAAAGTGAATGGACACATTCCCAACTTCAGGACATTCCTTTAGACAAGTTAGAAATTAAAAAGGAAGTGAATTTTACAAACATCGATTCTGAATCATCATTATTATACATGTATGTAATTCAGAAATATTCAAATTGGACAAAATGTTTGCGTGCCTTTGCTTGGCTGATTAAATTTGTCGATTGGATTGGATTGACGAACGTTGAACGATCAAAAATGAATAAAACTTTGTCTTTAAAAGAAATAGAATTAGCCAAACGAAAAATTATAGGCTTGGTTCAAAACGAATGTTTTGGCGAAGATATGAAAGCGTTAAAAAGTAATACTTCTGTTAAGTCTTCTAGTTCTATTATTAGTCTAAAACCTGTGTTAAGAGATAATGTAATTTGTGTTGGTGGGCGCATTTCAAAAGCGCCCATTTCTCTAAGTGCTATGCATCCAATGATTATTCCAAGAAAAAATCATTTGACAAAAATGATTATTCGACATATACATGAAACCAATGGACATTGTCCCCGCGAAGAAACGCTATCAATTATTCGTGATGAATTTTGGATTGTGGGAGGTAGGGCAGCTGTATCAGAGACTGTCGGCTCGTGTATAGTTTGTAAGAAACATTTATCTCCTACACTGAGACAACAAATGTGTGAATTACCTAGTTCGAGATTAACGCCCTTTGAACCCTGTTTTACGTATACCGGAGCAGACTTATTCGGACCGATCCTAGTAAAACGTGGACGAGGACGAGTAATGGAGAAACGTTGGGGTGTATTGTTCACGTGTATGAACTCACGGGCAGTGCATTTAGAAGTAGCTCGTTCGCTTGAAACGGACGATTTCATCCTGACTTTAATTAGATTTTTGAATCGAAGAGGACATGTAAAGGAACTAAGGACCGACAATGGATCTAATTTTGTTGGTGCCGATAAGGAATTGCGTGATTTATGTAGAAAGAGACTTAAGTAAACGCGGTGTAAAATGGATTTTCCATACGCCTTTAGCTCCTCATACGTCAGGAGTATGGGAGAGCTTGGTAAAAGTGGTAAAAAGGAGTTTAAAAACTGTCTTAAAGGAATCAGTAACAGATGAAATTTTACAGACTGTATTCACTGAAGCGGAATACATCGCAAACAATCGACCTTTAACAAAGAACCCAATGACGCCTTATGACTGTGAACCCCTAACCCCAAATCATTTTCTAAACATAAGACCTTCTTTAAATATTCCTCCTGGAATAGTAAGTCAGTCAGATCGATTTCATAAAAAGCGATGGAGACAGGCTCAATTACTTTCGGAGCATTATTGGAAGCGATGGCCGAAGGAGTACATACCTTCGTTACAAAACAGACAAAAAATGGCATTTTTAAGAGACCGATAACCAGGCTGTGTTTTTTAGAAGCCCATAACTCTGATTTGTAAAAATAAAAAAAATAAAAAATAAAAAAAAATAAAAAAATTGTTGAATTAGAATGTTGAAAGTTTGAAAGATTTGAATGTTGAAAGTTTGAAAGATTTGTTTGAAAGATTACTTTATAAGATGTGTTTGAAGATTTGTTCAAAAGATTATTTTATAAGATGTGTTTTTAAAAATACATGGTTAGAAAGATTTGTTCGAAACATTACTTTGATATGTGTTTGAAATAATTAGTTTGAAAGATCTGTTAGAAAGATTTAATTTGATATATTATATTAGGTGATGAAGCTGTCTTAAAAGAGACCCTTCATGGGGGGGGGGGCGGAATGTTGTCTCCAGTATGCATGATGACCACTTTTTTATTTTGAGCAATGTAACAAAGTAGTAATTAATGTGTTGGTGGGCTAGAACCGAAGCTCTGTCAGGTTGCTTAGCAACATAGCCATGTTGAATTTTTTTGGGAAATCAAGGCACCAGCACTGTTGAAAGCCCTTGTTGAAAGCCCTTGTTGAAAATTGTTGAAAAAGATGAATATGAATATGTTTTAAGTTCAGAAAAGTCACCAATTAAATGTGAGTTTTTGACTGTTTATTATGTAGACCATTCTTTTTTAGAATTAAGGTAAAGTTTTGTAGAAAAACTGTAAAATAACAAGTTGTTGGAAAGTTCAGCTATTTAATCTCGGCTTTCTAATCTCAGTTATTTAACCTCTGACCCCGGCAGGTCCCTTTTGCTGTGGAATGCAAGACAAAACATTGTTTTCAAGGGAGATAACTACTATTAATAATATATGAAAATCCTTGTAATTTATAATACTTAATTGTTTTTAATTGTTATATTTTGCAGCGAATCTCACTACCTCACTACCTCATTCACTTACTCATTTACTGATTCACTCGTTAAGATGTTGAAAGATGTTATGCTTATTGTAGACAGACGTTATGTTTATTGTTTGAAATATGTTATGCTTATTGTTGAAAGATGTCGAAAGATAATAAAACTTGAATTTTTAGTGAGATCTCGAATTTTTGGTGATTTATAAGATGAAAACATTGAAACGAATATGTGTTTATCCGAATGAACAGGATTGCACGTAACCGAACCTTACCGACACATTAAGCATTATGGCTATTGCTCGCTGTGTAGAACCCATTTGAAGCATGCCAATAGAACGTAGGAATTCATCATGTTGAAGACGTCTCATTGCAAATTATACGTAACACACTACAGCAAAGATACGCTAAACAGTAAATCTTATGCAAGAACCGGATAGCAAACATGGATAGGATAAACCAGCAGGCGGCAGTTGTCGTCAACCCTTCCTTGGAGTGTCAAATTTGACAATGAACCCCGTCCACGTGCATCTCAGTGGTTCTTCATCTGTGAACATACTCTCAAAGCATGTCAAGTGTCCATGCATGATTATTTATCATATCACAACCTGCATAGGTATTTTCATTTCAATATCCCCTACATTTTTTGAAGAGTATATATTGACTTATTACATTGAACTTGATAACGATAAGAGGATAAAACATTCTTTACAAAACGTATTACTGTGGGTCCACACTGTATAGAATTAAAGTTAAGTAATTGATACTCTGTAAATGTTTTTATTCATGAGTTTACAATTATATTGTCATATATGAATAATATTATAATAACTCCAGTAATATATACATATACAATCCAAAATACACAACAACAAACTGACCAAGTCATTTTAATACAAATAATATTTACAAAATACATAAAACAGAATTACTTTCCTGGTTTCTATAGATGTTTTGGATATATGATATATTAGATGTTTATGTTATATATTGTTTGGGACTCATCCAGATGGGGCAGACGAGGGGAGGGTGGGGGCTGATGAAACAGGGGTATAATATTCCTAAACATGAAAGTTGAAGTATTGTTTTGAGTGGCATTTGGTAATTGAACAGTAACACAATAGAAACTATTTATGTAATAACAATTGCTGCTTTATTAACACATTGTTAATTCATAAACATTATTCAGTGCACAATAATTATTTAGCTTGTTCAAATTATATAATATATTATTATTTGCTAGATAAAGACGAGAGAATAATCTTCGAAACGTTGTTACAAATATAGAATTTTTTATAAATAATCCAGCAATGATTATAGTGAAGCCACTGTGGTCTTCTTGTATCCGAACGTTGTTCTGTGGTTAATTGACACCTGTCTTAGGACAGCTTGAATAGTGAATGCCCCAGACCCTACCCTGATCTGAAGTGATTTTAATAAAGACTGATAAAGAATGGGATACGATGACCTATGGTCGACAACAACAAGTTAAAAACAAAGACAATAATATAGAACAGACAATATTATACAATAAATTATGCTGATATGACAGTAATAATTATATAAATAAACAATAAACACATCAAGTTATAAAAATATGAAAGAACTTTCTTTTTCTTATAAAAAGTAAATTATATTACCCTGTTCATGAATTTATTGCTTCAATGTTAAATACCATGGTGTAACGGAGGGATAACATGGGGAAAATGAAAGGGAGATGAAAGGGTGTGTGTGTGTTGGGGAGGGGGTGGGGGTTGTGATGAAGATGAAAGGGTGTTTATGTGTGTGTTGGGGAGGGGGGTTGGTTTGTAATGAATTGTTGGGGGTTGAAAACGGGAATATGAAACGAATAATGGGGCAGATGAAAGGGAATGATTTGATGAGACAAGCGATACAATGAGAGAAACGGATTGGGGAGGGAAAAATGAAAATAAGTGGAATGAATGAGGAAAGTGGAAGTGGGAAATGAACAGGAATAATTGGCACATAAAAAGGTGGAATAATGAAGAGTTATGGAATTATGGAATGAAAATGGATGAATGGGAAAAATGAAAATGGAATCTGAAAAGGATGAAAATGAACATGGATAATTAGAGGAGATTAGAAGGACTACATGTTTACAATGGAGAGTGTGAATGAAAATGCAACCTACAACTACTGTAAAAGAAAATCAAGACCATGATGGAAAAGAGAGATAGGAAAGACAAATAGTAAAATATATTGATTAATCTTAGGACGGAAAGGGGAGATAATATTCACCAACAAATGAAAGGGTAAAAATGTGCTTAATGTAAGGGGGTGATAACAAAATGAAACGGTAAAACAATAGATGATAATGACACATGGCAAAAAATGATGACAATAATAGTTATGATGATGATGATGGTGATGATATGTCTGGGATTGTGACAATGATGTCCTCAGGGAAATGATAATTAATGGTGATGCTGATATATAGAAACATTCATGATGATGATTTTCAAGATGGATTATAAACGCAGATGATAATGATAAAGATATAAGGGATTGTGACAATGATGCAGGGAAATAATATCGATGATTGATGCTGATTTTGATAATAAAACCATAAACCTTGATAATGATTCCTGATTGATTTTAATTTTAATTGAAACAATATTTTATTCATTTGAAACGAACCGAACATTCTATTCTAAATTCACGATGGACTATAGATAACAATGATTCCCTGGAAAAATGATGTCTTGGAAACATAATTATGATGATTAACGATGATGATTAACGATGATGAAAATGATGATGATGATGATGTAATGATGAAGTAATATGGTGATGATGACGAAGATAATTCTGTCTGAGAACGATAATGGTAATGATGATCACTCTTTGAATAGTAACCATGACAATTTATTTCTCTATATCTTATTATCAGAGAACAAATTCTTAACAAATCAAATCACCATGTTTCTTAAAAATAATACTGGTACTATAGTTTTACATCATACTAATCGGTTAGCACTTCAACTTCAGTTTGTTTATTATATTGAAATATCACAACAAAAATAGAAAGCCGATCTTCAATAACATGTATCGTGACGTTTGGATTGATGAATGTGCCATCACAATTTCACTGGGTAATGTCTTAAAACTTGCGCTGAATATTAGGACAAGTGTTATGTATCTTATACTTGGCGTCAAATGTCTAGAACATGTCATGCTATGGGTCCCCATTGAATTGTTAGTGGTAAATACTTTTGCCAAATGGGGGAACCCACGTAGTCACACTGTTCATCGTTTTAAAACTTGACTATGTATCATATGAGATCATTAATACATTATTGCTTTGAACCATCTATAAATATTTCTTTCATCATCTACCAATGTTTCTTTTATGATGAAATTTATAAGTCACATCCCATGTTGATTCAGGTCGAGCGTCACATGTTAAAAGTAAAGGAATTTCATGATCTTCACTTCCAAGACATAATTCACTTCCCGTTTGCTGAATTTGCTGACCCTGTAAAAAATAATTTTAATAACTTCTAAAATAACTGAATTTACAAGATAACTATCTCACATTTAAAAGTTCAACACAGTTTTTACGACCGTGCAAAAATAATTGTACTATTTGACTTTTAAAATAAGCGAACAGTAGGACGTTAAACTCCATTTCATTTCATTTCATTTAAAATAAGGGAATGACAAAATTAAATACGACTTTTATATCTCTATTGATGATATGTATCTAAGTATACTGAAATAAAAACAAATGGTGTTTAATTTCCTTCTGTTCTGCTCGGATTTGTCTAATGAAGACAGGGCAATACCATGTCGTATGGTATGAGCGAAATTTTGCCCAGAGAGCGGCGCTCCAGCCTACTTTTAGATCACCTTTCAACAGTCAAGTGGTCTTTTTCCTGCAGGACAATGTCAAGTCCTCCATCCTTGGCCAACGCCTTGAGCAAACCCTTGAGACCCCCCCCCACCCCCCGACTAGTGGGCCAGCGTTTTACTCACAGGGCCACTGTGGCTCCCGCATTTTTTTGGAGAAACTATCAATGAAATGTTTTTGTTCACGCACATTTTTCGTCTCATTCCAAATAACTAGGCAACCCTTATCATTGACCATTGAAAATAGAACTTGAAAAATCTCGGGCATTCAACTGGAGAGTACTTATATAGGTGTCTCAAATGAGAAATCAGTGATCTACATGGTTACCCCTAAATCATAAAACTCTTGCATACCTGTAATTTCCATATATGGTGACCACATGCACCTAGATATAATTTCTTATCGTCTGTCCGGATGCAACTATTGTTGTCATCACTACTGTTATATAGGTGAAGGTTGCCATGAGAAGTCAAACTAAAAACCTGAATAACAAAAGTATTACAGGAATTATACAGGGAAGATACATGTTTAATGTGAAAATATAAATTACGATTCCTATAGTGTGAAATGAAACTAAATGAAATGGGGTTTAACATTCTACTGTTCTGCACCTATACTGGGCTAATGGAGACAGGTATACATCATACAGTGTGCTAATGGAGACAGGTGTACACCATACAGTGTGCTATGAGGGATAATTAAGACGGACATAAACACCATGCAGTGTGTTATAAGGGGAATCTAATTCAGATCTTGGTTTTCTGTCCAAACAACTACACACTGTCCTATGAATGGGATTCTGGATATAACCATTCACATAACTCATATTTTATGGGAAAAAATCACTGGTTTTATTCTAAAAGCACCACGTTTCGACAAGTATCCCCTTATCCTTATCATTGTGCTTGATAGCAATAGGAGGATATTTTTTTAAATGCCATGCTTTTAGAATAACTCTGAGAATGTAATATTTTGCGGGAGGGGGGTCATTCTTATTACAGACCTGAGGCTGGGGTAAAACATTAAAGTCGACTAAAATAAATTAAGAAAGAAAATGTTTACACCTGCCGAAATCCAAATTTACCTGAGTATTTTTCTGTCCTTGACAAGCTGAGAGAATTATTCTTCCATTTGCTTGGACAGTAAGGCACTGTAAAGACAACTGATGACGAAACTACAAAAAACAGGAAATAAGTATTAATGAACAGTCTAAAATGTGCTGTCAATGGTGTACTATGGGCTGCCAATGGTCTACAATGTGCTATCAATCGTCCTTACTGTGCTGGCAATGGTCTACATCTTTTAAATCCTAATTTATAACACTAACTAGGTTAATAAAGATGCCATGCAGAGTGAAATGAAATGAAATGGGGGTTTGATGTTCTACTCCGACTGGGCTACTGAAGACAAGCGTATGCTATACAGCGTGCTATGGGGTCAATTTTGCTATGACAGCGGCGCTATAGCCTACTTTTATATCGAATTCCAACTGTCAAGGGTTCTTTAACGTGCACACAAATGTGTACACGGGTCCTCAGCTTTTCGTCCCATAAAAAATGACTATTAGTTGTCCCTTGCCAGGCCCTAGGACCTTGTTTTTGCTTTTATCCCATCCAAATGAACAGACACTCATCTAGCTCTAGTGACTAGATGAAACCCCACTGGAAAATCTCAAATGGTACGAGATCTAACCTGGGACCTTCTTGTTCGTGATGTAACATGGCTCCAGTAACTATGACAACAAGAACATAACCTACCTCTCCGAATGCGAGATCTGATTGGTCAGGGACAGGTAACTCTGGTATAACATTCTGTAAATACCATTTAAAACTTTTACATTTTAATCTGGTACGTAAAGTCTGTCTTTCTTGTATATCACCTACTTCTACTTCATCTATATTCTGCAAAACAAAAATCAATCAATAAGCGATTTTGATATCCATCTATAAACATCCCTGGCACAACCTGTATCAAATATAATATACAAGTCATCCAGTTATAAAATGAAATAAAATAGGGTTTAACGTCCTACTGTTCGCTCTGACTGAGCTAATGAAGAAGGGGATGCGCCATATAGGGTGCTATGAGGGAAATTTTGCCCGGACAGCGACGCTATAGTCTACTCTACGATCAAATCCCAACTGCCTAGTATACTTTGACATGCACGCCAATGTGCACACCCGACCTCTGTTTTTCGTTTCATCTTAATGACAATATGTTGTCCCCCTCTGTCCTGCACCACGACTGATCATCCTGATGAACTTTTTGGGGCAACACTACTGATCAAAAACAGAACCTCCATGTTAGCATTCCAACGTCTTATTCACTGAGTCACGGTGGCTCAATAAGGCATATAAGTCTTTGAACACTTATATAATAAACTATTTTACGAGCCAGAGCCAATAGTTATCTTCCCTTTGCCCCAAATCAAATCACTCATTACAGCAATCTGTAACTGGATGATAAATACTTCATTTCTGGGAAATATATTCTAACAAGTCAAATAGCTCATAGAAAGTGAAATATTTACCAGTTAATTACCAGGTTGTATTTATAGAAAGTGAAATATTAATCAGTTAATTACCAGGTTGTATTTATAGACAGTGAAATATTAACCATTTTATTACCAGTGAGTATTTATAGAAAGTGAAATATTAATCAGTTTTACCAGGGGGTATTTATAGAAGGTGAAATATTAACCAGTTTATTACCAGGGAGTGTTTATAGAAGGTGAGATATTTACCAGAGAAGAATAAAATATATTTTTGTAATCATCCATCCATACTTCTGCTACACGTCGTAGATTTCTAGCAACCGTCTGTCGTCCCCCATCAGGGAAGCTGTGTGGCAGAACGCTGCGGAACACGTGACCTACTCTCGAACAGGGTAAAATCTCCAACAGACCTCCACACATCCAAGCCTGAAAGTAAAATCAATTAGGATTAGTACAGTTCCGATGTGCCATTTGCATTTTGTCAAAACAGTATAAAAATAACTCAGTTCAATTTAATATTTACAAGGGTATGATGAATTGATATTTATCAACATTCAGAATTCTCAAATATGGCTCTACCAGGTCTCGTAATTTGAGAATAAAATTGTGCAAAAATGGAATCCTGAATAAGTTATGACATATTGATATTTATCAGCATGTTTAAATATGTCTCTGTCGGGTCTCGTAATTTGAGAATAAAATTGTGCCAAAAATGGAATCCTAAATATTGATAAAGTTCGTCCTGAATCTTCCTGTAATGGTCTGAACACTTCACACCACATATCCTGCTGACAAGTATTTCAAGCCTTGTGGGCAGCTTTCAGCAAACAAGGGGCATAACTCTATAGATATTAATCTGATATAGAGGACAATAACTAGGAATCAATTTATCATAATACAAAGTGTCAGAAAACTCTGATGAAAAGTCTGGACTGTATATTATTGCTGACAATCATTAGAAGCAAACAAGGGGCATAACTCCCCTTATTAATCTGACTTTGACGAAATGAAATATTAATTTCTCATCTTACCACTATAACAGCTTCCTGAAGGTTTCAGAAAAATATGTTGTGCTGACAAGCACTACATGCAGTACATACAGGTTTCAGCAAAAAGGGGCATAACTCTTAATATGTGTGCTTGTAAAAATCAATGTCACTCAATGTACGTACATGTATAAGCACCATAGTTGAAACTTCCGTACTTGTTGGCCCTCAGCTTCATTGAGACAGGAAACCAGTTCACGCTTCTGGTGATCGATTAATTGTGGCTGGTATCCAGTTTTCTCTGATTTCGGTTTGTATTTTAGAAAGTTTGCAGTTTATAAGCCTTTATAATCACAAGTCGAAGAAGTGTTAATCAAAGTTATCATCACTTATTTTGTCCTCGATTTTCAATGATTAACTGCAATAGGCATATGAAGCTCTTGTATAATGCATATTTTACTAATTTCACTTGATGAAAAGTGGTATTAAATTGTCTATCTCACCTTGTGCACGACACTTATAGTCTTGTGCATTATTCCCTTGTTGCTGTGGAAACACGTTTTGAACAAAGCACAAAATATTAAGGCCGCACAGAACATATACCGTTGCATCATATAAAAATTCCACATAGTTATAAATATCTTGCTGACATATTGTTGCCAAAAAATGACATTTGCACACCATCTGATTTGTGTGCACACTAATTACTAAAATTTAGAGGAGGCATTTGTTCTATGTGTAATAGCATGAACCACACCACACACAAGACATGAGACATATATACAGATATCTCAAACAACAAACGTATCTATCAGATCAACTGAATTGATCCATTTTCAGTTACATTTACAATAACATCTATAGTAAAACAAATCTGTTTGTTGACATTCTGTAGTTTATCCTATTATTGTTTATGAATGTAGGCTAATGTTTATTATATAACTATAACTGTTATTGATTATTATATGTCTTCACTATCGTTCTACATCAGTTATATTAACAGTAGTTTGTACAGTAAATATCTTGTTGTCATCAATAAAACCATTGTTTATATCTTGTAGTTTATCCCAGCCTGTACATAATACACCATATATAAAATCACAAGGTTTAAATGTACGTGTAACTTGTCTAACTAGTGATTTACTCTCATCATTGATATTTAACAGTTTCACTGTAAAACTAACTGTAAGAGCTTTAATAGTGTTATCTTCTACTGCCTTCAATACCAGGCCAATATATAATTCTGATGTATCATGTCTAACATATACACACCATGGTAATCCTTGTATTATTACAACATCACTATAGTACACCATATCTGACTTCACCTGGTTCAAACTAAAACTACTGGTAAATGTTGTTGGTGTTTGTACTTCACCTAATAGTTGTTTTAAACTGACTACATCAACCTCCACCATAGAATAACATGGACGTCTGACTTCAAGTTTCTGTAAATTTGTTGATATGTTGTAATCTGTTTTGGTTTGAACATCTTTTAATCCATCTTTATCTACAGCTGTAATTATAGATTTATGTTGTAATATACGATCAGCATATTCACACCATTCTTTCATTTTAGATGTCATCTTGTCATCATCTTCTACTAGTTTGGTTAGTTTACTGTTTTCATTTTCACCAATTTTATTGATGTCACCTTTAATTGTTCCTCCAATCTTCCTGACTTTTTCACAAATATTGTCTATTTGTTTCTGAACTTGATCACAAGCTGTCTTACACGAGTTGTTCATGTCAGATATTTTGGTCTTTAGAAAGTCAGAATGTTTCTGTAACTGTTTTATCTTCTTTTCTGATTCAGATTTCAGTTTTATGACAATTTCTCTCATCTCCTGGTCTACTTCATCTAAATCAGCTTTCGTATGATTTTCATGATCCACCATAACACAAACGGAACAGCATGGTTTGCAACAATTTCGACAATAAACTTCTATTTCTTTCGTCCTGTGTTTTGTACAATACTGTTTATCATCATCGTCATCTTCTAGATAAAAGTTGTTGACAAACTGACTGGCACTGCCTGATGGTACTGTGGTTTCTTGTCTACAGATAGGACAGTTAAACTTGTTTAAATGAGCCTGTGCCTTGATGTAGTCACCTATACATTGCTGGCAAAACGTATGACAACATGGCAGTAGCTTGGGTTTAGTAAAGTTATTTAAACAAATAGAACAGGTATATTTAGAAGCCATCTTAAAATCCCAGGAAATCAGAATAATAAATCGATTGTAGAAAACATCCGTTGATTAACAAAGATCCAGTTAAAATAAGATATATTCTGGTAGGTGTGTCAACTGTTTGTTATAATGTTCAAGGTTCACGTCGTCACATGATTGTATCATCTGATGGTATACTTTACCGTCATGTGATCATATTTGAATAATCTGATTAGATCATATCGGAGTAGATGTTTACTTATCTCTACATGTGTAACATCGTATGATATTTGTATAAACTGGTTAGATCGTATGTCAGTAGATATTGACTGATCGCTACATGTATTTGGTCTAAAATAGTCTATAATTATATTAGTATAATCTGGTCAGATCATATGTCAGTTAATATTTACTTATCACTACATGTATTTGGTTAGTTCATTAAAAACATGTACATGTAGCTCTGTAAGCTATATGTAACAATATAACTCAATCATAAAGAAAAAAACCCAAGCTCTTGCTATGCAATAATACTTTCCAAGAGATGGACAGAGAATAATCTATCTAGGATGTTACCGTCTGACATGCTTTAATAACATAACAAAAGGAAACAAGATATTCAGGACATAAAGATATATTTTAAGTTTCATCAAAATCGGATAAAAATTGTTACCGCTAAGAGGGTCCACGACCTGGGTATTACATATTTTAAACATCAAATCGATTCTAGAATGTGCTACAGAACAACACATGTCCTGCTGCCTTCCACTCCCACCTTTCAAAATGAAATGAAATGAAATGGGGTTTAATGTCCTACTTTTCTGCTCCTATACTGGGCTAATGAAGACGGGCATACGCCATACAGTGTGCTATGAGGGAAATTTTGCCCGGGCAGCGGCACTATCGCCTACACTTATATCGAATTCCAACTGCCAAGGGATCTTTTTTGTGCATTCCAATATATACACGGGACCTTCGTTTTTTATCTCATCCGAAGGACTAGACAGCTGTCCTTGTCAGGCCCTCCGTTCTCCATCACTGACAAGGGAGAACCACCCCACCTTTCAAAGGTCCTAGCACGCCTCTGTTTTAGAAATTCAACTTACAAAATATTACAGTTTTGAAGAAGCTCAAAATCTCTTAGCGACATTAAAGAGATGGAGAGAAATGGGGTTAAACATCCACTTGACAGAAACTATTTCTTTCAGGACTAACATATGGTTCAATTTCATTTCAATAATTTGCTTGCGCGTAGGAGTCTTTATATAATTAGATGTTGGAGGAAATTCGAGGACCTGAAAAAAAACCCACGAGGATGGATAGGTGACCCTACTCCTTGTCACATACAAATCACTTGACTCGATGACAGACCTTATAATCTAACACACATGTTAATGGCCACCTCCCCTCGATCAGCAACTTTAAGTACCAGAATGAGCAGTAACACACGTAATAGATCAATTTATATAAATAAAAAAAAGATTTAAACTCACTCTAAATGAAAGTTCGATGTTTTCTCCACCCCAGATGTCCATTTTATCGTCATAGGAACCAAGACGAAAGAAATAATCTCGATCAACAGCAAATAGTCCACCACTTATAGTAGGAGTTCTAGAAAGATACAAATATATTCAATTAACGTCTTACTGTTGTGCTTCAACTAAGTTAATGAAGACGGGTATACACCATACACTGTACGTGCTATGAAAGAATTCCAACTATCAACAGATCTCTTACACTGTAACCCGGTTATCATATTAAACATACATTATGCAAGAGCTATTATATCTACCTATTATTACAGGTCTTTCTTTAGGCCTGAAATGTTATATAAACTATTAATTAGACATTTATTAACATGAAAAGTCAATAATTAACTCTTGATGCCATCGGATGCTCTGGGTTTGCATTAGAATTGAATCCAATCTACCGATCAACAGCCATTGATGATAAAACGACAAAATGGATAATCAAGACTTTTTGTTATTCTGTCACAAGGGCAACAATGACAATCAAAACTACAAGGTTTTTCTTAGTATTTCTTGGCTTAGACTGAAGTAATTTGACTGAAATTTTCAGAACATTCCCATTACATTATCTTTTATAGTGAAAACTGTCAGCTCTTTATTAAATCTTCCATATTAAATTTGATATTAAACAATTTTGAAAGAAATTAGTGCTAGATACACAAGATTAAATGATACCTGTGTTACAGTGACATGCACTCCAATGTGTACATGGGATCTCAGGTATTTTTTAACTGATATGAAGGACTAGACACTGTTGCTTGACAGGTCCTCAGCCCTGCAACACTGAGAGAGGGAGAGAGAAAAATTGGGTTTAACATCCACTCGACACAAACTAGGTCATTTCGGGACTAACATATGTTTCAATTTTATATCAATAATTTGCATGCACGTAGGGGTATTTAGCAGCGGGAGGCCAGAGGACCCAGAGAAAACCCACAAGGTTGAACAGCAGGCCACGAAATTTCAAATTTTGGCGTAACCAGAAAAATGGTTGCGGGTTTATGCTCTGCGTAACCATTTTCTTAGGTTACGCCAGATGATCATTGCGTAACCAATTGGTTACATAAAATGGTTGCACTGCATGTTTTATCCAGATTTAAATGGTGCTATTATTCATTTCCACTTGCAGTGAATGTATTTTTTAAAGAAATAACTTGACTAACTTTATTCTTTTATATTTAATATTATATTAGGTTAAGTGTTAATGACTTTAATCCCACGGTGTCCCCATTTAAACAATAAAACATTAGAAAATAAAATGTTCCACTTCACTAAATCCCTACATTTTATATAATGAGGGGAATCGGTCACATATAACCGGGGATTCGAAACCACGCCAGTTGACTCAATGACAGACTTTATGATACAGCACGCACGTGCTAACCATTCGGCCATCCAACCCCCCCGGTCATCATTATGATATCGGTCAAGTTTTAGTCAGTTGAACTCATAAACACACGTATTATAATTGTTAGAATCCTTTCATGAAATTATAGCAGGATAAAATACATATTTTATTTTAATATTACCCAGGTTAACTATCTGTCCAGTACACACCTGGTTCCTATACAAGAAAAGTGTGTCTAGCCACTCGGATGGGACACAAAAACAAAGACACTGATTTACAGAAGGTGGAAACAATGCTGTCTGGGTAACATTTCTACATACCGTCTGCCTGTCTCCATTAGACCGTTTAGTGCAGAATAGTAGGCCTAGGACATGAAACTCCATTTCATTTTAACTATTAAATCTATTTGGCGTGCACGTAAAAGATTCATGGTAGTTAGAATTCGATATATGAGTAGGCCTAAGTGCCATTGTCCGGGCAGAATTCCCCCCATAGTACGCTGTATGGCACTGAAACAATTAACACTTTATGACTATATTCATACAGCTCGATTATTATAGAAACGTTGGACTACAAACGGTTAAATTACATGTCATTTGATTTGCTGTAAGACAAGTCAGCTGTTATCCGATTGGTTGAAATCCCGTAGGGCATTTGCAAGCTATTACCTAATTTGCTGTAAGTTAACTAAGCTGTTACCTGATTGGTTGATTTGATGATAATCGTTGTGTATATTTATGATAAGGTATCGCCTGCCACACGAAGTCAAGATGCCAGTTAAAACCACCCTGTAAATTAGCAGGAGCCTGCACATATTGAAACGTGTCTGGTCTGATTGTATCTATATATGGACTAACGATCTGAAATATACAAATAACTTTTATATTTTGATTGGTCAGTATTTAACCACAAAAAGCACGATTCACCCTTACAATTCAGATTATAAATCGGTGATTGGGAATAGGGATTTTGTGTAACCCGAAAATCGGTCGAATGCTTGGTGTCCTTTTCATAAAACTTCATGGCTGATTATGCTGAGTTAGCAATACATTTGTTTCCTGGAGGACATTTACTCTGACAACCAAACATCAAATTCAGTCACCTCAGTATTTCTTTATCAGTCAAAACATTGGTATAAATGTCAAAACATCGGTATAAATGTCCAATTATCGAACAAATACCGATAACAATATGATACTGACTTCTCCTAGATGATGCATTTTCGACAAATCAGATATGTTAACTAACAACCAAAACCGAAATTGCTGATTCCAATTCTACAATACCGGTACCTAAATTTTCACAGCTTATTATCCACGCTAAGTATGAGCTTGTATTGATTATTTTACATTTAATTAAACATACATTATGCAAGAGCTAAATTTGTGATGGGTGATTTAACCTAAAAATGGATAATCCAGGCTTTGTTTATTATCAAGGCTAACCTAAAATGGAATGGCTAATATCTTGGTTCAGAGTGGAGCAATTTGACTGAAATTATCTCTTCTTTAACTATTATAGCGAGAACTGCCAGTTCTTTATCTAATCTTATCTAATACCCCTTTAAGAAAACGAAATAAAAACATCTGTTGAGATTCATTCAGATTAAAAAGAGGCTCATCAAATAATTTTACCCAACACTTATAGGTGGCACTGGTTTGTTTATATCGTCTGTAGAGGATGCTGAATGTTGGGAAATTCATTAAATGACGTGACAAACAAGAGTGACCATCGACTAGTCTAATCCTGTGACAAGAGATGCAGTTTCCCATTGTCATTGGTGCAGGACAACAACAGTGTCTAGTTGTTCAGATGGGACAAAAAAACAAAACCAACAAGGTCTCATGTACACATTCGTGTGCACATAAAAGAACCCTTGACAGTTGGAATTCAATATAAGAGTAGGCCGTTGCGCTGCTGTCCAGCCGAAATCCCCACCCCCCTTAGCTTCCTGTATGGCATATGTCCGTCTTTATTAGCCCAGTCGGTGCAGAACAGTAGGACATTAAACCTGTGACGAGAGAATAAGAGTGACGTACCTTGTTTCTGTTATGAGCAATAGCTAGCAGTAATGGCTCTAACCAGTTGATATTACATTCACAGTGTGAATCAAGAAAAATTAATACAGATCCTTCAGCCTGAGCAGCACCTGAAAAACACAAGATAAATGTTTATAAGTTCATTAATATCGCCCAATTCCTAAACACAGTTAACGATGGATTGTCAGTCAATGAAACATTTCTCCACAGCAGCTAAGTTGCCTGAGAAGTCCAAAGGGGTATAAGTTACATACTTAGTTTATTCAGTGAGCATTTACCAGACATTACAATATTAAAACACAATTTATATGGAAAACAATTACTGAGTTTATTTCACACTACGTTTCAACAAGTTCCTCTTGTCGTTCTCAAGTACATGTAAGTAATGACAGAATAATAGCAAGAAATCAAATTATATACAACAAGGTAGCAAAAATAATAACCGGTCTGAAACCATCAAAGGAGTAACAAAAAGAACAATAATAATACAAAACTGACATCAAAGATACTTATTAAGGATTAATTAAGTTATCATAACTCCTTGGAAGATATAATCCCTCGTCTCGTCAGGTTTGAATCTCTTACAAATGGACTAAATTTAACAACCCATTTAGTAAAGATGGAGAGCCATGGTGGCTCAGTGAATAAGATGTTCTTCGCTAGCCTGGCAGTCTCGGTGTTAGCCAAGAAAGTTCATCAGGATTTTACGGTGTGGTTCACCCTTGTGACAAACAAACAAGGTCCTGTGTACACATTGGTGTGCACATAAAAGAACCCTTGACGGAGCTCGTTATAAGAGTGGGTCGTAGTTCTACTGTCCTGTCAAAATTTCTGTCTTCATTAACCCAGGCGGAGCAGAACAGTAGGACGTCAAACCTCATTTAATTCCAATTTACTGGGGGTTCATAAGTCATAAGAAGCCTGGAAAACCCACAGACGTTCCAGTAAACTGGAGATGAACAATGTTAACAGACCATATGAACACTTGGCAGACCATATGAACATTTGGCAGACCGTATGAACATTCAACCACATAACACACCTGAAGCAGAGCGAAATGGAACCTCAAATAATTTGATCAAACATATAAAATGTTGCTAAATCAAATATATCTCTATCATTATACGGATCGAATCGATAACAAATGAAGCCATTAAACTGATGTTTGTGATTTTGCTCCGTGATAAAATCATGGTCGAGATTTGTTACTATTTCTATCATGTTCAAAATACATTACACAAAAATTTACTTCACACATCTGTGAAAATTGACCATGTTGGCGTGAAATACGAGAATCTAGAAATCATTCCCTTACAGCGGTGTTCAAAATGAAACAAACATAATTACAGCAATCAGTTTGAGTTGCGGGCAGAAACCGCAGAGGTTGTTAACCATTTAACCGTTAAGTTTCTGCGATGGAACCAATTTAACACAACCTCTTCACCCAAAAAAACCCTGACAAATCCTGCAACCACGTTTAGATGATTTAACGTTTGTTTTGGTTTCTTGGAAATTTTTTATTTTACTGCTCTCTCTCTCTCTTTTTCATTATACCTGGAATCAGGAGTGGATTTTGATTATTCTGATTGGCGGAGAGGGAGTTAGATCTTAGGGGGTATTTAAGATTCACGAGGGCCCCCTCCTCCCCCCCCCCCCTGCACAGAAATTAAATTACATGACAAATAAAGAGTGAACATAAATAAATGTTCAACCACATTAATTTGATAAAAATATATTTTGGTTTCTGAAGAAGACGGCTGATTTTATTTTTCTCAGTTTTATTGACTGTAGGATTAACTCAAATTATATCTCAAATTAATTACTTTATTAAAGGGGAAATAGGTAAGATAACATAAAGAGTTGGCAGTTCTCACTTTAACTGATAATGAAAAGAGAATTTGCGAAAAATTTCAGTCAAATTGATTTACTCTGAACCTAGATATTAGCGATTCAATTTGAGTTTAGCCTTGATTGTCATTACTACAGTTGGTATGATAATAAACAATTATTGATTATCTTTTTTTACGTCAAATCATCCATCACAAAATGTATTCAAATCCACTAAATATTGCAAGCTAACAATTGCATCGAGAGTTGATTATGGCTTTGATATGTTAATTAATGTCTAATTAATAATTTAGATAACATTTAAGACCTAAAGAAAGACCTGCAATAGACATATTTGGCTCTTATATCCTCATAAATCTACTGGTAGCTTGACACTTAGATAACGTCCGCTTCAAAAACTGCCTATTTCAAATACTACTCATGATGTTTTATAAATCCTAATATGGATAAGGTTGAACATTTCTAGGTTTTTTTTTTATATTTTGTAACATATTACCGTAAAACATTTAAAAATGTCAAGAATTTATTGAGTTCACACCTTAATCATTTATAATTAGGCTAATTGATCAGAGAGAGAGAGAGAGAGAGAGGGAGAGAGAGAGAGAGAGAGAGAGAGAGGGCGGGTTTAAGTTCCTCTTGACACAAACTAGGTCATTTCAGGACTAACATACAGTTCAATTTATTTAAATATTCGCTTGCGCATAGGGGTCTTTAGCAGTGAGAGGAAACCCACGAGGTTGGACAGGCGACCCTACTCCTTGTCATGAACAACCAGGGAATCGAAACCACGCCAGTTGACTCAATGACAGACCTTATAATACAACGAGCATGAGCTAACCATTCAGCCATCCAAACCCTTGGCTTATAGAGATGCGGTCGGTCGGCGTGGGTGGACTGGGCTGTCACAGTAATGGCACCATCTCAGATCTTATTGTTGAAGTATTTAAACCTAGAACTATCATGCTAAAACCATTTTTTATTAGGGGACAACATTCCAACAACATCGTGCAATATTCCATTTCAATTATGGACGGAGTGGGATAAATAAAAAAGAAAGAATTATCTTTCATGAGAATATTTACGTGTATAAAACCAATCTTCGTAGAGAGTAATCTGGTGCAGAAGATAAATATTGGCTTGAAACTGATTCGTTACTTTTCTCTACAAGAATATCAATCTCACGTCGTATAAAACCCTTTTTTTTTTTACCAAACCATGGTTTCTAAAGCTCCTTTTCTTTTTTATTCAGTATCAATTCATCGTGTCAAGAATTATACGATTTTTACGTCTAATCTACGGAAAAAGCTTTTGGTGTTATTAGAAGACAAGGCGTATTAATTCCGCGAATTCCCGGCCATCTCCCGCATTAAGTCTACTATCTTATTTGATAACGTAAGCCTTGCCTAATCCCCGGGATGTCGCCGTGACATGTCTTACATGAGCTGTCAATAACGAAAAGCTCCCGGCCATTTGTCGCTGGTTCGGGTAACGAGTCAATTTACAAGACGGAGACAAATGTGTTCTGACAGCTCACCATCGATCAATATTCTCATTCGGTCAGTTGCCTGTCAAAAATGTCACGAGAGATTTAGCAGAATTTTATCGTATAAACATCGCTCGATAAACGAGAGCACTCATTAACTGAAAAACGCATTTGGTCGTTAAAGCCCTACTACATGATGGAATTTTATCAATAAAGACGCCGTGGTCGATGAATGAAATTGGCTATAACGAGAGCGGTGAAGTGTCTGTGATTTCTATAGAATAAAGACGAATGACATGAAACTGGTCAATAACTGGCCATAACTCCCGAACAGAGACCTCTATTCGTTCGTTCACAGTTCAATACCATCAATAAACCAGCATCAGACATTCTTCTACTCGCAAGAAACCCCGACATTTCTGCACAATCAAACATCACTAAGTGCAGATTTTTTCTTCATTAAAATGAGAAAGTTTGAAATCATGCAGCTGATGTCCTCGTGTTTACCGAACCAAACGAAACGGACAATGACAGACACCCAGATCAACTAGTGTCATATTCCGTCCAATCAAAATAACATCTGCGTCAGTTTTTTTTCTTTGTTACTGATGAAGGATGATGACACACATGGGATTCTCAAGAAATTCTGCTGGAGAATTTTCAATGTGCATATCTATGGCATTTCTTCCCTTGTCTATTATGTTTTGAATCTGCTATGAGTTGCTGCTAGACAATTTTCAATGCATGATATTATAGTGTAAAATGTGCATGTCTATAGCATTTCAACCAAGGGTCAATATGGGGATCACGTGGCTAAGTGGGTAAGACTCTAGCTCGCTAGCCTGGAGGTCGGGTGTTCGATCCCTGCATTGGCCGAGAAAGTTCATCCAGATTTTCCGGCGTGGTTCTCCCTTGTCAGTGATGCAGGATGGAAGGCTGACAAGGAAAGCTGTCTAGTCGTTCGGATGGGACGAAAAACCGAGGTCCCGTGTACACATTGGCGTGCACGTAAAAGATCCCTTGGCAGTTGGAATTTGATATAAGAGTAGGCCGTAGTGCCGCTGTCCGGGCAAAATTTCCCTCATAGCACACTGTATGGCGCATGCCCGTCTTCATTAGCCCAGGTTAGGAGCAGAACAGTAGGACGTTAAACTCCATTTCATTTCATTTCATTTCCAAGGGTCAATATGGGCATGGAAAATTTAGTCTTCACTGGCTACTAAATGCTAAAAATTTACTAGCCAGCACCAACATTTTAGTAGCCAGAAATTACAATGCTATTAACTGTAGTCTGTAACGTAAATCACTACTAGATATTATGCGTTGTTTTTTTTAATCTGTGTCTGAGAGGAATCTTCCTTTTTTTTAAAGAAAGAGCTTAAAAGATTTTGTTTTTATTCATTTTATTAATATATAGGGAATAACTTTAATCTATGGGTTAGAAAAATGGGTCAACAACATGCGTAGTCGGACATTTTGTATACACTGCCGTAAGTTAGAAGTTAGAACGATTTTTGGGACATGGTAAGAAAATATATGAATGTCGTAAATATTGTCGTTAAATTGGAGTTATTCCCCCTAGTAAGTTCCGGTTTTACGAAGCGCTGAGTAAACAAATTCAATTTTTTAAAAAAAACTTTGTAATTATTTTAAAACGAGAAAAAAAAAACTTACAGTCGCCAGCTGGCGACTCAAGTGAAAATTTTAACTAGCCAGAAAATATATTTGGTCGCCATGGCGAGTGTTTTAGTCGCCATGTAGAGCCTTGATTTCAACCCTTGTCGATTATGTTTTGTGATACTTTGTATCCTACTGACAAAAGAATCATGGTCTTGTCCATGATTAGTAGAACCTGTTTGTTCAGGGAGAGAGAGACAGAGAGATAGAGAGAGGGCTGACGTATATGGTTCAATTTTATTTCAATAATTCGCTTGCACGTACGGGTCTTAAGCAGTGGGTGGAAACCAGAGGACCAAGAGAAAACCCACAAGGTTAGACAGGCAATCTTACTCCTTATCACGTACAACCGGGGAATCGAAACCACACCAGTTGACTCAACGACAGACCTTATGATTCAACGCATGCGCTAACCATTCGACCATTCCCCCCCCCCCCGTACAGATAGATCATAAAATACCCCATTCTTCATATACGTTTTGGGTGGTCAAACGGTTTAACACACGAGTTCTAGAGCATAAGGTCTGTGTAGCATGGTTTCGATTCCCAGGATTTAGGAGAGAACGAGTAGGGTCATGTGTTCAATCTGATCGGGAGTTTTGTCTGGGTCAACCGGTTTCATCACACTGCTGAAGATCCCTACCCACAAAAGCAAAATAAAATTATCTAACCATATGCTGGCGCTCTCTCCTCTTGATTCCTCTTGAGCTTGTCGCTAATTCATTTCAAATGATGATTATTTAATTAGGTAATTTAGGTAAAATAACTCCCTTGTCCTTCAGTTCCCCATTTGTACATGACAAAGAGTTGGGTCGTCTGTCCAACCTCTCAGTGCCCCCCCCCCCCACCAGCTAAAGACCCCTACCTTTAAGTGAATTATTCTGAACATAAGCATTCGAGGGAATCGGCAAATTAAAATAGATGAGCATTCCACGGAATCGGCAAATTACCATAGATATTATCTATCACATTATAGAACATATCTACATTCATCACTTAAGGATAACGGCCATAGAATCATTGATAGATTGTCAGATATGATTTACGACAACTTGTCATGCAGATCAATAAATGTTCCTGATTTCTGTACATCTTGTATCAATATCTTCATGGTATTATTTTATATAGTCATAATCATTGATGGTGCCAATTGAGAATCCTGGCGCCAATGGCGATTCATGGCGCCATTACAGAATCACCTAAAGCCGTATTTAAATGGTGGTGTTTTCTTGTCATTAAATGTTTTTGATGTTGATTTGTTTTAACGGGAATAATGTCTTGAATCTGAATAAATATTTCATGATTATTCTCGTAAATTTCATCATTGGCAATCTTGTCCAAGACTACAGTTAACAGGTTGAAGAATCCAAAGAATCGTAGGTAAGAGTCTAAGTGGATCTCAGTGACAGGCCTCATGAGTGAGGGGTCCATCCGGTGTGCCGCCCCAAGGCCCATAAGAATCTATGGGGACCATGAATACCAAAGTTCAAAATTGAAATGGGCAGTTAAAATTATGCATGAATTTTTTATTCCTTTTAAAAATATTTTGGATTCCTCAGAACATATATAGTGTAATTGAATCATCTAGATATGACAAGTGTTGGAAAGGAGTTGCGGGGGTGGGGGGGGGGGGTATGGGCTTTTTCCTCTCAAGGGCCCTGCTCAGTGATAGGTAGGAAGAATTCCCCATAAAATAATCCATAGGTCGTAATCCCACCAAAATAAACTTAACAAGACACTTTCATATTGATAGAATTCTTAATTGTCAGATAATTGTCTTATATTCTCTTGGTTATTTCATGGCGCCATAGTACGTGATATTTACATTCTATCATGAAAACATTCTCTGAAAGAGGCTTTACCACAAAAAAATAAACATAATTACATTTGAATAATATCACATTTAACATACATGTACCTTATAAGACTTTCAAATCAAAATGTGTTTGTTGGGAATAGAATATGTAATAAAATGAAAGTAGAGAGAGAGAGAGGGAAAAATGGGGTTTAATGTCCACACAACACAAACTAGGTCATTTCAAGATTAACATATAGTTCAATTCTATTTAGCAGTGGGAGGAAACCAGTGGTCCCAGAGAAAACCCACGAAGTTAAACAGGAGACTATACTTATTGTCACCTACAAACAGGGAATCCAAACCATGCAACCTAACAGATCTTCTGCATTAACCATTCGGTAACCCAACCCACTTTGCACATAGAAGCAGAAAGATGGAGGATCCAGATATTCGACAGGCGACCTTACTCCGTATCACGTACAAGCTGGGAATCAAAACCACACCACTTGGCTCAATGACACAACGCTATAATCTAATGCACACATGTAAAGCAGGGCTTATGTCAACGTTGCAACTTGGAGCAACTACCTTCAACCAGTTGCAAGACGTGCTTACGACGATCAAAGCAGCTAAGTAAAGAGGGCAATTGAGAGCAACCGAATTTGGAGCTTCCAATTTGCCTATTCATAAAGTCACATGACACATGTCTCTCATCTCATGATGTTATTTCCATGGAAACGAACTGACACCAGTTGTAAGTAGGCTCATGTTGACGGCAACATGTTGAAAACATAGGCAACTGCCTTCCACTGACCGGGGCACGGTGGCTAAATGGGTAAGATGCTGGCTCGCTAGCAAGGAGGTCGGGTGTTCAATCCCTGTATTGTCCAAGAAAGTCCATCCAGATTTTTCGGCGTGATTCCCCCTTGTGAGTGATGGAGGATGGAGGGCCCAACACCGACAGCTGTCTAGTCATTTGGATGGAACGAAAAACCGAGGTACCGTGTACGTAAAAGATTCCTTGACAGTTGGAATTCGATATAAGAGTAGGCTGTAGTGCCGCTGTCCGGGTAAAATTTCCCTCATAGTACACTGTACACTGTATAGCGTATGCCCATCTTCATTAGCCCAGTTCGGAGCAGAACAGTAGGACGTTAAACTCCATTTCTTTCATTCAACTGACTGGAACTACTGGTAGTTATAAGAAACACTTGGGTTGAATTCAGTTAAAGTCAGTTGTTCCTAGTTGCCGAAACGTCCATTGCTCTCAGTTGTAGGGTTGACATAAACCCCCCTTTAGATCACTAATCCACTCGCTCCCCAAATGTATGAAGACTCCTGCTTTAAGCCGTTTGGACAATTCAGATTAACATATGTTTTATCAGGTCAATAAAGAAAGGAATAAATAATATTGTGTAAATTTACGATAATGACAGATAAAAAGAATGATTATAAATGGTACTAGAATGGAAATCAATTGACGACGATTTTAACTGATCTATAGGACAATATTGAACGTTCGTTAAATCATCCAATATTTACTATCAATGAAGCAGACGTGACTATCACACGGAATTTACTCGTTTAAACAGACTCGTTCATATTAAACGTGCCGTCCAAGATAAAGAGCTGTTATGATTCATAGCTAGATGATCGCCTTTTTTTCTACTGGAATTTAAAAACTTACAATGCTTTTAAGAAAACGTTTTATATTCTGTAACTGTCCAGTTAATTGTTACGAATTATGTCCGGGTCATTTGTTAAAAACAGAATGAGGTTTAACGTTTTGTCAACACAATACTCTAGTTATTTTGGGACTAACATATGTTGATGTTTAAGTGTGCAGTGCAACAAATTTGTTTGGATTCTAGGGTTTGCCTTAATTGTCTTCTTTGATTTATAGATTTCAAGGGCTTTTTCTACACTGTACCTTATTTTACAAATTATCACACTTTTTACCCTGTTACAGGAGTCATGTAAAGGTCAGAGGGTTTGAGAGAGCCGTAATTTCTCACTGCCATCCCTTTGTTGTACACAGAATCAAATGGACAATAAAACCAACCTACCTAATAGTCTTGATCGTACCAGACCTTCTCGTTGTGTTGTGTGAAGAAATAGGAAGATGTTGTTGTCGTTAAAATAATCTTCAACATAACTTGTATCTGTTTCTGTTAAATAAAAAATACAAACAAATAAATAAATTATTGAAAATGACCACTGTGGCCCCCTTTAAGTAAATATATAAAAATAAATTATTCATTTATTTAAAATTGCCAGGGACATTGAAGTTGGGAGTGCCAGGAAGATCTGGGTTCAATCTCAGTGTTGACGGAGATAGTTCTTTGGGATTTTTCCAGCAGGCTTATTCCTCTTCTTGTCATAAGTGGCAGAAGAGAGTCTGTTTATTTTGATGGGATGAAACAAAAATATGGTCCCATGGACAGGTTAAAACTTCTCTTAAAGCACACTGAGGGGAGAGAGAGAGAGAGAGAGAGAGAGAGAGAGAGAGACTATACAGCCCCCCCCACCCGAACATTTTCCTGCACACATTCCTGTGTAGTTCAATGATGAAGGCGCTGATGATGAAACATTAGAAATAAATGATCTCAAATGCAATTGTTTATTTCAAAATTTTGGACAGAGTAATCAATAGTTTCCTTTCGATGAATTACAGAGGGAGGAAGAGAGGGAATCAAAACTAGGCCACTTGCCTCAATGATTTCACTAACCCCCCCCCCCCCCCCCCCCCGCACTGCATGACAAATAGCATCTCATGAACCCAGCACGTTCGTGCAGAAAAGTAGAACGTATGTGTGGAACCCCTGAGAAAACAGCAACACCCATCTTATCGTTATGTTAATTTATTATCATTATTACCGTGAAAATTAGATTCTGCACTACACTGCTAAAACAATTAACAAAAAATAAAATTACAAAATTACAAAGTAAATTACTTGCACAGCAATGTCAGTTTCAATTTAATAATAAACCCAGATCCAACGTCTAAATTATGAAATTTTCAAATATTGGAATTAAATTAACACAGCTGCTTCAAAGAAAATCTAATTTTTTTTTACTAAATTAAAAATTATCAGATTAATAACATTAGCGTAAAGAAAAAAAATTACATTAAGGTCGAAATTAACAAACTTGCACGAAAAAAACAAAAAAAACAAGTCTTTGTGAAGATCTTAAGATTAAGTCATAACAATTAAAAAACAAAAAAATCTTGTTCAGAAGTTCGGAACAAACCCCTGACCTGCTCCGGAGCTCAATTAGTGATGTGCAGTTTCTTGCTAAATCCAATATTATCAGAGCGAAGTCAAATTATTATTTTAAGAATTTGGTTACAAAAAAACCTTTTGATTGACATGTCAATGTCAGGAAGCGACCCCGAGGCCATACTTCGATCCGTTCTCGACAAATTGGGCATAATTATATTTCTGAAATTGACAGCAAGGGACCCCCTGGAGCACAAACACTCAACCTCGGTCTTCAAGCAGATGTCTGTATGAGGCTTCCCGACTACTCGTCCAACCGAAACTATTAATTGGTTGCGCTGGGTTAAATAGCGACAAATTGGTCTGACAAGGTCAAATTTTCGAAATAATGAGACACCCCTAAGCGCTGTGACATCATCATGTGAATAACAAACCAGGAAGGAGAAACGACACGCTTGTTGGCTCCGTTTTATTTTACAATTATCACGTGCGTGAGATTTTTTTTACTTCCTTTTTGTTTCTTTGATCTTCCTTCAACGAAGTTCGTTAATATAATCTATACTTATAATATTTGTGATTGTCGTTTGTTTGTCTGTCGGTTCAGGGTTGGCAGCAACAGTAGGGCTGTCCCGAGGCGGATCGGGGAGTAACATAGTCCTGGTGATGAAGGTCAATCACTTCCAGTTTTGGAGTTATACTGCTTCCAGGTCGTGGTTATATCTGTGCTACGCCGGGTCAACTGCGAGTGCACCGCTGTTCCTTGCAAGGTCATCCATAATGCACCACTATCAAGGGGTGTAACTACAGACTCCATAACAAATGTCCAGGTTACCTTTTGTCAGGGGCTGCCAAGGAAAATTGCCCTAGTTTTTAGGATGGGACAACAGAAGTCCATCTGTGTATGTAAAAATCCCTGACAGTTCCAATTTGAGGATGAGAAGGTGGAAACTCAGCTGTCCGGGTAAAAATTCTCCCACCTATCATTGAACATGTGACCATAGAATATTACTCTCAAAAATAACATAAGTATTCCATCCTCTTCAGCCATGTGGATATAAAATATGTTAGGTGTTTTTTTTCTTTAACACCACTAAAACTTCCAGTTGGATTTGATAATGCAGTAACAACTGTACTAAATAGTATATTATTACAGAGACAGCGAGAGACAACAATAAGAGGGTTGAATTGAAACCACGCCACTTGACTCCATGACATACCTATGTTCAGGCTATTCAGCCACACAATTTCAACTGATATTCAGAATGGTCATGTACAAGATATCTTCAACTTAAAGTAGCATTAGGTAAGATTAGATAAAGAACTGACAGTTCTTTCTATAATAGTTAAAAATAGATAATGAAAAGAGAATATGCTGAAAATTTCAGTCAAATTATTTCACTCTGAGCCTAGATATCGGCAATACAATTATAGTCTAGCCTAAACTATTACTACCAATGTTATTATAAAAAAGACTCGATTATCTATTTTTACGGTAACCACATCAACCACAGAACACATTTAAATCTACTTATATCGCAGCCATCCGACATTTAAGTCCTAACAAAAGACCTGCAATAGATTTAATGTATGTTTAAAGTCATGATGCACCATTTTAGCACTACAGAATCACTTGAAGACAACTATATTGTGAACATTGAATCTCTAAAACGAATATCAGACCAAAAATGGTTCAATTCCATTCAGTATTCACAAAGATACCATGAATTGAAAATATCATATTATTTGTTGTTATAAATGAATATAAATGTCATCTTTCTCTGCGTTTACCACCGACCCTACCCCATTTTCCATCAGTTACAGAAAACAGAACCCTTTTTTTTTTGGTCTTAGGACCAGCTCTGAAAACAAGTTTACATAGAAATGTAAATATATCAGAATTTTACGAAAATAATAGATAAAAGTTGCACTGAAATAACTTTATGGAGAAACTTTGTTCTTAAATAATACTACATTGTTTTTACTCTGTTAAGGTAACCCTGCCAGTTAGCTCTATCTGCTGGTTTAGATATACCCCCCACCCCACGTCTTATATGTCCTTCACTCCACAATCACAAAATAAAACAAGTTTAGTTTACGAAGAAAAAATTGATATTGAGAGATCTAAGTACATCTTGTAAATAGATATAGATTTCACTTTTTTTCTTTTGACCATCTGTCAATTTTAGAGGTTTACAACATTGGTATAGACAAAGAAATGAGTTACTCCTCCTATCTGACTACCATGTATATTCTCCTACTATCTGTCTATCATAAATACACAAAGCCTTTGGGTTTTATTCCTCCTATCTTTTGTCTATTACAAGATTTTATTCCTCCTACCATCTATCTATCTTGCAGATTTTACTCCTACCATCTGTCTATCTTGAAGATTTTATTCCTCCTACCATCTATCTATCTTGTCAATTTTATTCCTCCTACCATCTATCTATCTTGCAGATTTTATTTCTCCTACTATATGTCAATCATACATGCACCAAAGTCTGTGGGTTTTATTCCTCCTATTATTTGTCTATTACACGATTTTATTCATCTCACTAGATTTTATTCCTCCTTCTCCCTGTCTATCATACATACACCTAGTTTGAAGATTTTATTCCTCCTACCATCTGTCTATCACATGATTTGTTTTCAATAGTGTTTAGTTTATCAAACATCAAAATATTCCCTCACCTCCTAAATAAACCCCCTCAGCTGTTTTTACATGGATAATATTACTGGATAATGTGTCTATAACCTTTATCACCCAGCCATCTGGATAAACAAGGGATCTGGTTACTTTCGATTCATGATTATCATATGCTCTGGATGTACCAGACTTCCTGCTTTAGTCACAATCTAACCAGATATCTTTAAAAAGGAACAATTTGGTTATATTGAATAGATCTTTTAATTGATAAAGTTGGGAGAATCCTCAACAGATCACTTTAAATCAAAATAGTAATTATGTTTTTGTGCAAATTAGTTTATTGCAAATGCCGCTTAAATAGATCTCTTGATGTTCAAGACTTTTGTATTTTAGATGGTATCGTACCAGATATCTGGTTTGATCAATCTGTTTTGTTTATTTTTTTGAGTTAATTTAATCTCAAAATCGGCATCAAAGAAAGAAAAAAATATCTGATTAATAAAAAAAAATTATTTCAACTATTACGACATGTAATTTTTGATTCAGAAACATGCAGAACATTTTAAGTTACGAGTTCATTTTGGTGCTTTTTTTTTTAAAAAATGGACATTTAATCAATTCTGTTTGTTTTTTCTGGACAAAATGAAATTAAATCTGTTAAGTATGAAGAATTACCAGCTCAGTTCAGTTCAGTTCTGTGTGCTATTCAATTAAGATTTTTTTCCAATTATTTTTTACGTAGAATGTTTTTGTTAATTTTCACAAAAATGTAGAGTAATTAAGATACTGATTGGTTGTAATTTGTTGTAGAATAATTCTGTAATGTTGTATATTTAACAATTACGATAAAACTCCATGTATAACAGAAACACCCCTTTTCTGATCCCAAAAATCCAGGAAAAAACGATAGCCTGCCGCTGACAACACACGATTAAAATTCACAGTTTAGTCATCAAGTACAGTACAAGAAGCAGGCGGATAGGCCTATACAAACAGCAATATCTCTATTTTATATAACATGTTTATTAAAATAATGCTCATATTTTTGCTTTGAATTTGTATATTTGTAATATTTCTATTTGTAATATTTCTATTTGTAATATTTCTGTTTGTAATATTTCTATTTGTAATATTTCTATTTGTAATATTTCTATTTGTAATATTTCTGTTTGTAATATTTCTATTTGTAATATTTCTATTCGTAATATTTCTATTTGTTATATTTATAATACTTCTATTTGTAATATTTCTATTCCTAATATTTTTATTTGCATATTTTCAATATTTTTGTATATATGTA